TTACTAGGTGTCCCCCACATGCAAGGCACTTGGGTGGGCATGTGAGATCTATAAAATTGTGTAAGATCCACCCCTTGCTCTGCATGATCTTCTGCAGGAAAGGAAGTGATGCATGTTTTCAAACAATTATCGTAAACAGAGTAAATGAGAGACTTATGAGTGACAGAAAAAGAGTAGTTGAAGGGTTTAGGAAATGTACAAAACACTTCTGAGCAAGGCAGTAAGCGAAAGCACCATGAAACTGGTAGCCAGTGGTCAGCACATTCAAGGGCTGGTAGGATTTCAAAAAGGCGAAATAGAAGGAAGAGGGTTAGCATAGGGGGAGCAGTAGGAATAACAGAGTTTTAGGGAATTCCAAGTAGTCCAATTTGGCTGGATCACAGGGAAGATAAGGGTAGAAGCTTAATACTGGAGCAAGACTGGAGAAGTCCACGGATTCCAAGACAGATATCTGGAATTTGATCCAATAGGGCAAGGTGCCCACAGAAGGGTGGAGCAGACAGTAATACAATCAAAGCAGTTTGACATTACTACGGTGAAGCAAAACATCCTTTCCTTATTCAGCTTAAATAAAAGGAAAACGATTTTTGAAAACCTAGTACTCAGAGCTGTATTATTTTCATCACTTCTCAAATATATTTAGAAGTTTATTGTGTTTTGTTGAAATAATAATGGCATAAAATGTTAACAAAAATTTTCCTAAAATGTTTACCTGGAAATAAACTTTTGTTCCTCTTGTATATAACCAACTGGACTTAGTAGTCACTGATGAATGTAAGGTATGTAACAAAGCTTTCTAAGCATATGTCACCAAGTCATACCCGGAGGCCATCTCACTTGACAGTAGCAACTTCTAGAAACCTCATTTTCTGAAAACAGCCTCTCTGTTACAATTTGTGGGGCTTGTTTTCCCTTCTATACTAAAACCTTTTATAGTAGGATATTGGTGGGTAATCAAATACGAGATTCCACAGAGGTCATATTACTTTTAAAGAATATGAGGCTTGAAAAATCTAAATAAAACAGTCATTGTTCAAAACGTACCCACATTTTAACAGTATCTTACTATTAATAAAATATTAAAGTACATCAGTAATAATTTCATTTTGCCAGAAAAAATAAAAGATGTATTCAAATAAGGTTTTAAAGTTTCGTTAATACATATGTCACAAATTTTTAATTAGAAAGGAAATATTTTCTATTAACTCATTTTTTCCCACTAATTTTAGTGAACTAATAGAACCAAAGTTTAACCTAATTAAAATCAGAAACCATGTTTTCTCTGCCACATAAATCAGAAATCTGATTTTGAAAGAACCAACACAAAATTTTCTACAGAAAAATGGGAAACAAGAGCACAGATATGATATAGAAAGAAATATTTAAGCCAAAGAACCAGTAAGAATCTCCAACAAAAGATGAAAATCCTAGAAAACAAGAAAAAGAAAAAAAAACCCTGGTCACATTCATGTCAGGACACGAAATTAGAGTTTTGGACAAACTCTGACCACAATCATTAACTATAAACATCCTCAGGTATTCAAACCATCAGCTTCTCGTGCTTTCTTTTCCCTAAATGTTCCTGCGATCAATCCCTGGTCAGATGATACAGGAAGAGGTCTTGTCTGAACTCGTTTGAGGTTGCCCGGCTGGCAGCCACCTTAACCCTTGTCTTTCTCACTTGGAGCTGAATCTGCTCATCTTTCCCGCCTATATTTCTTCCCCCCATCATGTCAACAATTCTTAAACATGGAAATGTACCACATGCCCTTTATTAGTTTCTTCTTCCTCTACGACACAACGTCCAAGTCTTCTTATTTCAAAGGAGACAAGTCCTGATGGAATTATCTAAGTATTTTGATGAGCATCTAAAACCACTTTAACAATACCTTCTTAGTTCTGTTCCATTCAGTCCTTCCCTATTTCCCAAAATAACAATCCCGAAATTAGCCAGTTGTGTGGTTCCCAAACCTACTAACTAGTGATTTTCCCCTGAAATTTCAGATGAAAAATATATCCCATTGTACACAATTGGATAGAGTAACAGGCAGGCCATCCTACACATTTTTACACAAGTGTGTTAAAAGTCGCAAGAATAGGGCCGGCCTCGTGGCTTAGCGGTTAAGTGCGCACGCTCCGCTGCTGGCGGCCTGGGTTGGGATCCTGGGCGCACACAGACGCGCCCTTTCTCCAGCCATGCTGAGGCTGCATCCCACATACAGCAACTAGAAGGATGTGCAACCATGATGTACAACTATCTACCAGGGCTTTGGGGGAAAAAAATAAATAAATAAAATTAAAAGTTGCAAGAATAAAGAGTTATAATTTTTAACTCTAATTCTGGGGTTTAAAACTTCAGAAACATAGTGAACAGTGTTATTTAGTGCACATAAAGAATTTTACTGTAGGCTTCTAATATACTTTTCCACAGAAAGTTCATTTTTTAAAGTATACGATTGTGCTGGCTTTTTAATACACTGAAGTACAAAATAGCAAACATTTTTGAAACAAAGATGATCTTCTTTTGCTGTAATCTTCAGGAAACTTTAAGTCTCTCACCTACTGAAGCGACAGTCTCTTCACCACAAAACTGTCCCAACTACTTGAGCCCACGTTAACATCTCCCTTCCATAACCACAACAGTTAAAGCCGACATTCTACCACAGGGTATATGATCATACAAGATCTTATGTTGGCCCCTAATTGTTTTATATCTATAGGTTTTACCTTGTTAAACAAACTCTATACCTTCTCAAAAGCAGGATAACCACACTTTTTTTACCTAGCACTAGTTACTATATAATGCTGCATAAGCCTACAGAAAGCTTCATTTAAAAAGACAAGTGTTACATGTATTTGATTTCTTTCTGAAGTGTTGTTTCTACGCTTAGGACAGTGTAGTGATTCCGATGTTGACAAGTAGAAAGAATCAAGTTTTGGAAAATCTAGGCATAAAGATCATTACATGAAAAAATATATAGAAGAGAAGTTAGATAATGATCTGGAAATTGCTTCCCTTCTCTAATAACCATAGCTGCCACCAACCACATTCCCCCTCAGTCACACACACCAACTTAAAGGGGAGAAAGCCTGGATAATTCATGCACAATATGCAAGAGCTAAATTATCTAGCTAAGTGTATTCTTTGCCCAAATCTTCCCTTTTTGAATATAAGAAGAAAAAAATATAAGAAGGAAGAAAGCTAATATTTTGAAGTCTACACCTGGCAAATCCATCACTAGCGATTTTACATGTATTATATCATATATTATTATCCACATTTTGAGGCTCAGCGAATTTGAATAGGCTACCTAAGGCCAAAGTCTTTGGTTTTCTTCCCCCCACTACCCTCAGTTAGAGTTTGTCCCACAATTCAGTCATTCACTAAGAAAACATTTATTGAGTGCTTATACAAGCTAGTCACCACTCTGGGCATTAGAAACACGAAAATGTGTGAGGCTGACCAAGGCCTCTCACGGAACTTATATTCTAGTGATGAAAGAAAATAAATAACCAAATGGATAATTTCAGAGTTATAATAGTTTACCAATATGATTTATGTACCATGATAGTCAAATCTTTTGAAATATCTATAATGAGATTAAATAGTTACAAAAGCTAAACTGGGGGGAGGGGGTAAAACCCACTGACAATTGGTAACACTGTGGGCCTCTTGTCAATTACTGAGCCACTGCCTTTACATCTTTTAACAAATCAGAGGGAAGGAAAAGGAAGCAGAGCTTTAATGATGCTCAGAATTTCTTTATAAAATAAAGTGACTACGTGAGAGATAGTCCAACAATGTTGGTTCTCAAACCCAAAATGGACAGCTCCAACAATGTTGGTTCTCAATCCCAAAATTTCATCTTTTACCCGTTATTCACTAAGGCACTGCTGCATTATTTGAAGAGTTGATTTGCAAAAGTCAAGGAAGTGTTGTAACTTGACATATGCCCTATGAGAAACACAGAGGGGTTTCAACATCCACATCACAAGGTCGCTAGGCTGCATTTGCTTTCCACTGGGCAACGGCATCCAGCTCTCAGTGGATGGCCAGCAAGAACTATGGGATTCAGAGACCAGAGTAGTCAGTAGCTACCAGGAAGTGCCTGGCCCCAGGGTGGCAGCTGCCATTACCCTCCACACTCAAAAAAGAAACTTCACATCTCTTAAACTTGGAACATATGCAAAATTCTAAGTTTTGTTTTAAGCAATAAACACTCCATGTTAAGTTACCCTTCCTTCCCTCACCTATTTATGCAAGTATAAGTTGACTAAATTAGCTGCTAGCTATTTCTATAGCTGCCTCTCATGATATTTATAATGTGTTGTGTAATTTGGGTTGGCCCATGTCACTAAGACTTTGCCAGCATTTGTGTTTGTAAATTACTTCAGAACTCCTAGGATGGCTGTTCGGGAGTGAATGCTCCTCTGCACAAGGCAGTCTAAAGACCAACAGCGAAGAGTAGCGTTTCATTCACAGGGCTACACCTTCCTGCTACAGCACTCTTTGCAAATCTAGTTTTGCTGGTATAAATTACTATGTAGGGAGAGGAGGCTGTTTTAAGTTAATCAGTGTACACCTTCCATTTCCTCCTAGAACTGTCACACTCCAGCAGCTAAAGAAGCTTCAGCCCCCTTCTAGAATCTTTCCCTCCTTCGCTTCAGAGGCAGCAACAATCCTTATTGTTGGGAGCGACATCCGCAAGCCAAAAGTTTACAGGAAAACTTTCAATTAGATACCAACCCTCGCCCAAAAGTCCTGCCACTTAACTAAGGAGGCAAATGTTTTACACCCCACCGCCCTCCAAAATGTAAACAGCTAAACCCTAGATAAGAATGAATCCACGTTCTGTTGTTGGGGAGGAATTCTTTGCCCAGATTCCCGCCACCACCCACCTCAACACCGGAGTCCTAGAAGACTCGCCCGAGTCGGAAAGGGACCACTGCACCCTACAACCCTGGGGGCGGAGGAAGGGGGTATCCCAGGAAGCACACACCTGAGATTGATCCTCTCGCGCGAGGAGATAGAGCAGGAGCACCCAGTTCCTGCGGCCAGGGCGGAGTCTCTGCCTCCCCCTGAATCAGAGCGTCGGCCCTGGTCCTCGCGGCAGGGCGCGCGTGGATGTCACTCCCGGGCAGGCTGAGCCAGCGTAACCCGACCCGCCCGGAGCCGCCGCGCCCCCGCCTCCCTGGCGGCTTCCTCCTCCGGCCCCTGCTCCTCCTCCCTCCCCGAAGGCTGGCCTGGGCGGCGCGGCCGCCACATCCAGCCCGGATACCTCCGGGCCCAGGCTGCTCCGGCCCAGCAGGGGAACGCGGAAGTGCAGGCGGGAGACCGGCCGGGAAGCAGGGGGGGAAGGGTTAAGAACCAGCGGGCGGCGACCGAGGTCGCCGCGGCCCAATGATCGTGACCAGACGGGGACACGGGGACACAAGTCCCGCCGGGTGGGGCCGCGGAGCAGCGGATGCGATGGCCCTCGCCCCAGGCTGCGGTTCCTGCCCTGCGCCCTCGCCATACCGCACTCCTGACCCTCCGCCCCGCCCTGCCAGCCGGCTGGCAGGGAGGCAGGGAGGCATCGGGGGGGCTAGGCGGGGGGAAGATGGGGGAGGTGTCCGATTTCCTCTGCCCCGCCCCCCCATGCGGGTGCCCTCGCCACCTGCCCGGGAGAGAGAAGACACTAGCCCGCCTGCACGCCGGCGGGGCTGGCTTACCTGATTTCTCGTCACCCGCCCCCGAATCTGGCTTTCCCTACTCGGCAGGCAGGCTTCCCTAGGCCTAGAAACACGTCCAGGAGGCGGGCGGACCCCTGGGACCCCGCCGTCAGAGCCCAGAGCCCTTGCCCAGGCTCCCCCCGCGCGCGCTGGAGGCGCGCCCGGCCTCCTGACCCCCCCGCCTGAGTGTCAGCGCGGGGACCCGCAGGGAATACCAAGCCCGGGCACCGGGGGTGGGATGCTGAGCACAAGCTCCTAAGGCCCAGCCTCGTACAGGTGGGGGGAGGCGGAGAGCCCCGGCAGCAGAGCAGCAGGCTTCCCAGTCGCACCCCTCAAAACCGACTCAGCCCACGGAGCATGCCCAGCTCACTTGTTGGAACCACAAGTGCTAGGCGAGCCCAAGTGGACCCAAGGAGGGAGCAAGTGGGATTCAAATGGACCCCATTTCTTTAAGACCTTTCCTCCGAAGACCTCTGGAAGCTTTACAAATAACGTTTCTACCGTGGTGTTGGAAAATACCCAGGGAAGGGTTAGAAAGGCCTTCCAAAGGAAGGCAGCCAAATTAGTTTGAACCAATGCGCAGTGGTGGGTTTTTTCAGCCAATTGTTTATTGTCACTTACTAATTTCTTTAAACACCACAGAATTATTATAATTGACTCAGAGGAATGTGTAGATTCATTGGGTCCCCAACTCACAGTAACTTCAGGAAACCAGCCTATCCATTGGGTAGTCTGTGCAATGGAACAGTGGTTATGAGCCTTGAATACACATTAGAATGGGGTGTGTGTGTGTGTGTGTGTGTAAAATGATCAGTGCCAGGTTCCCATCCCACACCGATTGAATCAATCTGTGAATGGAACCTGGAAATCCTTATATTTTAAAACTGTGGCTCTCAAAGGGTAGCCAGCAGTCATCAGCATCACCTGAGAACTTAATAGAAATGCAAATTCTCTGGTTTCACTCCTCACTACCTGATTCCTCATCTCTGAGGCTGGGCCTAGCTATCTGATTTAACAAGCCCTTGACAGCACACTAAAGGTTGAGAATCACTCCCCCAGCTGATTCCAATGATCAGCCCGGGTTGAGAACCCTCATAATAGACCAATACTTTCACATTTTTTCAAATCCCGAACATTTATCTAGAAGAGCAACATGTTACACGGAAAAGGAATAATCTGATGGAATCAAGGGGCCAGTCCTGGATTTCTTTCCCACTAATTCTCCCAGAACAGTTCAGTGCTTGGAAAATGGACACCATCTGTTACTCACTTTTGTCCCCTGGGGCCTAGCACAGTGCCTGTAACATAATAGATGTTTGATAAGTGTTTATTGATTTGAAATGAATGCTTAGGTGAACAATTTGTTCCAGGCCCTATTATGTCTACTGTTTATTTTCCCACAAGTCCTGGTCACCTTGCTAGCTAACAAGCCAGCGGGGATTCAGTCTCATCAATAACTTATTACCATCTGTGATGGTCTAACCCAAGTCAGCCCCTGATGGAATAGGACATGGGAAGGGGTAGCAAATTTTGAGGAGGTGAGAAAAGTCAGAAGCATTGGACATGATTTCACTTGCCCAAAGTAACCAAAGAAAAGCACAGGGAAGCTAGGCATCAGTGGAATTCACAAAAGGCACCAAAGGAAAAAGGTGTGTATGGAACATGTTAAGGGAAAAGAGACAAGGAAGCTTAACATGATCAGCCTCCAGCTTACTCTGGGTCTTCTTTTCCTAAACAACCCACCTCCACCCTCCACTTCCCCACCCTCCATTGCTGTTGTTAGGTGCCCCCTTAAGTCCACTGCTGGCGACTCTATGAATGAGTGATGTCCACAGTGTCCTGTCCTCAACAGTCCTACTCACCTCCTGTGGATTCATGCCTATGGCTTCCTTGATGGAGTCAATCCATCTCATATTTGGTCTTTCTGTTTTCCTACTGCCTTCTACTTTTCCCAGCACTATTATCTTTTCCAAAGAATCCTGCTTTCTCATGGTGTGCCCACATTGGGACAGCCACCCTCCATACACACATCTAATCTCATCTACAGCCTTGAAAGAAATTTTAAAAATAGGAAATTGTTGTAAAATAGTTACTGCCATTTACTGGATAAAAACGTTGCTGACATAATTATTCTGCATAAAGTAGGCATCTACTTTTGTTCAAGGCAAAAGTGGTAAAAGTTATTAATTTTTAAAGATAAACACTAGATAATTTCAAAACGCAGAGGTTTATGATAATTCTGCTTTAAGACCCCCAGAAACTTACAAAATCAAAAATTATCCCCTATTTACACTATCAATATCTTCCAGAAGGAATAAAATATAAAAATAATTTTTTCCTGGGGCAGCCCCATTGCATAGTGGTTAAGTGCGCTCGCTCTGCTGCTGGCGGCCCGGGTTCAGATCCTGGGCATGTACCGACACACTGCTTGGCAAGCCATGCTGTGGCAGCATCTCACATAAAGTGGAGGAAGACTGGCACAGATGTTAGCTCAGGGCCAGTCTTCCTCAGCAAAAAGAGGAGGATTGGCACGGATGTTAGCTCAGGGCTGATCTTCCTCACAAAAAAATAATAATAATAATTTTTTCCTTTTAGCCTTATTCATAATGTTTTCAAACTTAGGATACTATTTGTGAGTACTTAAAGGAGCTTTCTGCCTCTGTCTCTGCCCTGTGTCTTGCTTATTATGACAAGAATTTCATTGAAAGAGTTTGGTCGCTAATGGTGGTATCTAACAGAGCATAATTTCCCATATGTCTGAGCAATTTCTTTTCATTATTAAGATAATTTTGTGGAGAGGAGAGGAATAATCATTAATTTAGGAACTATTCTTTAGAACTAAGTATTACACTAGATCCACAAACAATATAAAAACCTTCTGTACACACACATACATTTGCTACAGCTTCTTTTTGCTCAGGGAATTAAAACAAAACCAAATAAACAAGTGGAGGGCTAACAAGGGGGGAAAATGAGTGAGGGTAGAGGAAGGGAAGCAATTACCATAACCAAATTTAGAAACGTGAAGTAATTATTTCAGCAGAAGGTAATCTACTGAAGACCAATATCTCAGAGAAGTTAGAGTCTTAAGTGCTTCTCCTTGTCCTCATAAGCATGACTCAGCATTTGGAATGAAACTATGTTTACTGTCTTTCAGATTGAGGGTGTCAAATAACTTTGGTGCCACCTAACTCTCTTCTCATGTGCCTAAGAAAACTTCAGGACAGTTGTGGGTTTTCAGCCTCACATGGCTACCAAAGCCTTTTCCTTTGTTCCTGTCTTACTAAAGCCTAGGTTTGCCCACCATTAATTTATCTTGCTTTTATAGTGTTGTCAGGTGAATTTAGGTTATTTTGTATATTCTAGTGTAACAAAACGAGAGAGAAATTCTTCCCTTCCCAAGCCTGAAGAGTAGGCTACCTGCTGCTAAGACATTTTAAACCCAACTGCTGGGGGTGAACTTTCCCCAACATGGGGGAACCTTCCATTGATGATTCTACCACACACCTTTTATGATCATCCACCACATGCCTAGGGCCAAATGTTTTAGTCCCTGCCTATTTCCAGAGAAAAACAAATTATCTCCAAGTGTTCATTATGAGTTACCAAAGCTCATAAAAAAATTTATGGAATATAAGGATTGAAAGGGGTCATAAATATTACTAACTCCCACACTTTGTTTTACAAATGATGAAACCAAGGCCTGGAGGTATTAAGTAACCTAAGGTTTCAGAGTTAGCTAAACATAGAGCCAAGAAAGACTAAAATGAGAAACTGTATGGTATAGAGAACAGTATGTGGGCTTCAAATCCATCCTCTTTAACCTGTTCCTTAACCTTGACCTGGTTCTCTAGCCTCCCAGAACCTCACTTTCCTCATCAGTGAGGATGTTAATAGTGAACATTCACTCAGTGTTTATTCTGCACCAGGCACTAGGCTTAACAGGGTACATGTAATCTTTAAGCTTCAGAATAACTCTACGTGTTTTTTGGGTTTTTAGTTTTGCTTTGCTTTTACAAATGGGAAACCTGACATTCAAAATTGTTAAGTAACATGCCCAAGACAGCACAGCTAGCAAACTGGGATTGGATGGATAATGTACGTAAAAAAAAATGCCTGGCATATAAAAGTTGTCAATAAAAGTATCACCAATGTCAGTTCTCTTCCCTAAACTCCAGGCCTTCTGACTCTTGGTCGAATATTGGGCCAAGACACCTTTGTTCTGAGCTTTGATTGCTGTGTATGCTTACATATTTCTTCCATTATATTATTTTAGTAGTTTATATAATGGAGGAAGTACTGTATGCACCTATGATCTTATCCATTGTTAACAATAGTTACAAACACTAAGAAGATAACCGAAAGTTAAACAAAGACTACAAGTTTACTGCTTACAAAGAAAAAAACTAATATAGAGTTCCTAAAAGATTAACAGTGCTGTCCAGGAAAACCTTAAATCCCTGAGCAGAAGTAGACCAGTGTCTTTGGGGCTTTGAGATTAGAACAGAATAGCTCATTTAGTAGACCTCTGCCAACTTGTTACTTGAATTCTTGAAAGTGGAATTGTAGACGCCTAAAAATATCCAACAGAA